ACCAGGAGTCCTGCAACTTGAGTCCCCATCCCTGCTAGAAGTCCTCCATGTCTCTCGTCTTTCTATTCTGCATATCAGTTGCTGCAAAGAGAACATGCCAATTCAGGAGATGGCCACACGGTGTCTCTCAATCTCTACCAAAAATACTGTATGTTGGAATTGGTTTTAGCAAGGTAGCTGGATTACTCTGCTTCAGGAAGTATAGTACAGCAAAAATGGAGGCTTGTGGCAGCTCAAAAATGTAACAGATTTAATTTCAATACGATCTATCGAAGTCTGCAGTGAATGACATCTGTTAATCTTTAAGGTGACACGACTCTTTGCTTTTCGCTTTTGCTATACATCTTGTACGGGTGGTAGTGGTTATGCTGGACAAAACCAGAATTTAAACAACACAGATTCATTGCAATGAAGCTGGTTAGTGGTTCATAAACATGTTTTCAGCTGCTTCTCAGGACAAGTTCCAGGTTTGAGGAATGCTGGGCAAAGCTGGATAGCTCAGTGGTTTAGGGGAGTTTGATTCCCCGCTGTGTCTCCTTGAGTGGACTTGATGATTCACAGGGTCCCTTCCAGCTCTGCAATTCTAAGATTATGACGATGATTCTCCTGGTTTTGACATTAATGGACTCCCTCGGGTTGTTGGCAGCTTTACAGCAGTGTTGGCTGAGAGCTGCCATTTTAATTTCCCACAGTGTCCCCAAGCAACCAGCAAGGCACCGCTTTGGGGCACTTTTAAGTAATGAAAATGGCCAGAAAAACCTACTGACCAGGTGTAACCCTCAGTTTAAAAAACAAAACTGTTGGAAATCAGGGATCCTCAAGCAGCTAGGTGCAGCTAGGTGCGGGTGCTGTGCCTGCCACTTCTCTCCCCAAATTAAAAACCATAAAGTGACAGACTGAACATTAATAGCAAAACTGAAAAAAGAAAGAAGGGGGGAGAAAACATTGGGGGGCTTATTTCCAAGTAAAGATTGAAACAGCCTTGTCTGGAAAGCCAAGAGAGAGGAGGCCAAGTAGGCAACATAGAAAAATCACAACTCCCAGAATCTCCTTTACACAGAAAGGCTGTGTGTGATAGACCACCATGTCCAGGGCCTTCTGCTCTTGGCGGCCCTATAGAGATACCACTTTAAGTCAAAATATATCTGTATATTGTATAAGGTACAATCTTTTTAAAAAGGAGCTGGAAAGAAATCCCTATTAATAAATCTATTGATACTTCAGTAAGAATATTCACATTCTAAGTTATGATTTAAATTGCCTGGGACAGCAAGGCATTGGCTGTCAATTATGTGATTTTTACTGGCCATACTATACTCTACATTTTTCCCTCAAAATGATTTCCTGAGAATTAAAATTGCTCTAGATTAGAGGCCAATACGAGTAATACACGTAATGCAATAAATACAAACACACTTCTTTATGTTCAAAGGAACATTTCCCAATTTGCATCAGGTTGCTGCTGGTCTTGTCTGTGGGACTCTTTAAAGCACCATCACCTGAACAGTATGCTGATGCTTCTGCTCAGTAACTACTACCACTAACAACTACTGCTGCTACTACTAGTAGTAGTGTACTACTACTAGTACTAGTAGTAGTAGTAGTAGTAGTACTAGCAGCAGCAGCAGCTGTTACTGGTAGTAGTTACTGGTAGTAGAAGTAGTAGTAGTAGTAGTAGGGCTTTAATATCCCTGTCAGAGGATGCTGCTCCCGCTTCCTCCTGTCTTTGCTCATCTTCGCTGATTCTTTCCCTGCTATAAAAACTTATGTCTGGACTGTACCACTTGAACCCATAACGGGGGGGGGAGCAAAGGAGGCTCAGAAACGTCGTGGTGCTTTCCCACAATACTCAAATAAATTTCCTCCGGATAAAAAAAACTAAGCTATCATGGAC